CTTGAGTGAAATTGCATACCTGCATGTTTATGATAAGAAGCTCGAAAAACCATACCCTGTTCAGTAGATCATCCCCGTATAGTCCATATATGGGAGTACCGACCCCAGGGGGCAACCCAGGGTACTTTCTGCCTTTCTTTGTCTCTCATTACTACTAGACAGAGAGAGAAGGGTTTTCACAGCAACAAAAATCGAATTTATTTGCCAAATGAGAAAATTTCTGCTGAACATTACCTGTAAATGCAAACAGACTGATCATAAGAAGCTGTGGCAAAATACTTTCCTGAATATGACCATCTCACTTTGACAACAAATCTAAAAGATATAATATATATTACTAACAATAATATCAAGAATAAAATTCAGTTAGAATAGAATAAGTACTGTTTAATAAACGAGCAGGAGTGTTTTATCGGGTATAAAACACGAGGCGTAGCCGAGTGGTTTTAGACCCGATAAAACACGATCTGCGAGTTTATTAAACGGCTTAAGAAACTCCTGATGTATGTTCTCATACTGTACCGAATTCTTTACGAAATGAACCAAGTTTGATAGAGAAAATCCAAGTTAAAGTTTATGCAAATGAAGACGAATCTATATCAGATATAAAACCTCCTTCATGGTCATGATTTCTATTGTGTTTCCTTCATGAGTTATTAATGAGTTTTTTAAATTTATATAATGATATTAAGAACAAAATTCAGCATAGGTAACTTTCTACTTACTTTTGATGATTTTCAAATGTCTGAAGAACATGATGCTCATCTGCATTTAAAAGTTTTACCAGCAAACACTTTCTGTCCATGCTTCCAGTGAGAATAATGTCTCTTTATGGGAACAATGACCAAAAGTAGAACAATATGATCAATTATCCAATAGATTTACCAAAGATTATTCAAATTTATGCAAGGAGAAAAATAATCCAATTTTACATTTTGGTGCATAATAGTCTCCTACCCAGCGGCTATATTAGTGTTGTCATGCAATGCTCACTGTTGCATACGACATTAACTGCATCTGCATATAGGAGACTAGGTGCTTGACAAGTTTCAAAAAATGCTAACATTTTCAAATAAAATGTTCTTTCTTGGCATAAGCCCCTTTAAAGTTAAAAAAATGGCTCCATAATTCAAGGAGCATGAAGTCAAAGCGATTTTAGTCACCAAAGGAAATTTGCAATCTCTGCAATTTCCTTGTCATTTTTTACCATTTTTAGACCTATGCAAAACCAAACACCTACTTAATTTTTAGGTCATTTTTCACAAAAAACATGACAAAGAGTTAAGTATAATATATATAATGAAAAAAAGAAACACACTTTTTAACTGGATGAATGTCCAAAGCAATGATTCCAGCTGAATGAAGCTCGATCATCGATGGAAATGGCAGCATAGTCTCATCACTGGGAAGAGGTGTGTTTAATGTTACAACTGATAACAACCCTTGAGTTGATCCTGCGATAAGATCTGAACGCATAGGCAAAATAATTATTAAATGCCCTGGCCTGCTCTTCCTTTAAGAAGGGAAAGAAAAATATTACTTCTGCTTGCTGCAGGGATTAAAATAATGGCCGGTAAGTGGCCATTCATGATGATGGGGCAAATTAGTTTTAGTTCGGTCATACTTCATTTCTGGCTCAATATTACTGCATGCGCAAGTCAAAATGACTAGCAAGGCACAGATGTCATTGGARAAAGTGCAATTCTGGGTGGACATTGCTGTGGCAGATTTAGGGGGGGTTCATTGGGTCCGAGATTTGCAAAAATGAACCCCCCTCTTAAAGTCCTGGATCCGCCATTGCATTGTCTGATGTCTGGCAGTTATTTTAAGCCCTGTTGCTGGGAACAAAATAATCAGCTTCAATATAGACAATTTTTGAGACAATTTACAATATTATTTTACCTGGAAATCAATCTTATATTAACCCTTTGACTCCTGGGGAAATAGCGCGCGGACTGCCCCCTGTCCCTGGACATTTTTCAAGAATGCATAACAAAAAATAACGCGTAAAATAAACCCTATGCGCAGTAAATACAGACAAAAGATATAGCTTCCAAATAAAGTTTATTCAAAAATGAGGTGAACAGAGGACCAAATGGTGCCAAATATTTTACCAAA